TCTCAGAATCCGTACCGAGTAAATCAAAAGACACAAAACCATAAATAGGAGTTTGTTAGGAACTCAGGATTAAGATCATTCTATATATGCCCATCGGTAGACTCAATTAGAATTTCTATACTTAACGGAAATTATTATAAATTCATATTGTGTCTGTATCCTTGTTCCACATAATCTCATTATGCGAAATATACTCATTCAATATCTCGCCATATCAACAGTGCGGATAACACCGTTCCATTCTAAATGGGAATGACATATATTAATAATGTTTTAATTAAAAATTCTGAACTTTAATTAAATTCATTATGAACATTGCTTTTTGATTATTATCCTTAAACATTATCCTCTCGTATATAACACTTATATACAATGTTTAAGGTTACATAAATAATAATGGAATTTTCATTGATATTCATAAAATATTCACAAATATATACACATAAAATTGATTAATAAACTCTTTTATTAAATAAATAATAAATATCCTATTACATCTTATGCTTCTAGGACACCATTCCCAACAATTACCTCATTCCAATAAGTGGCTGGGGAATCTCTGTATGAAGCATGGGAAAGATTCAAAGAGCTATTGTGGAAATGCCCTCATCATGTGATCCCTCATTGGATTCAAATGGAGACCTTTTATAATGGCCTCAATGGGCAAACAAGGACTATAGTTGATGCCGCAGCTGGTGGAGCTATTTTGGCCAAGTCTTACAATGAAGCCTACGAGATCTTGGAAAGGATGGCCAATAACAATTATCAATGGCCAACCGAGAGACTCAATGCTAGGAAGGCAACCGGAATTCATGAAGTTGATGCCATTACTGCACTCTCAGCTCAAGCGTCATCCTTGATGAATATGGTAAAAGCAATGAACATGCCGGCAGGGGTAAATTCTGTGCAAATTGCTAGATTCTCTTGTGTTTACTGTGGAGATCCAGGTGGCGCCAACTTGGCACCCCAATTTTTTTGTTTTATGTTTACTAGATTAAATCCTAGCCCTTGATTCAAGATTCATCAAGATCTCAACCATCAGATTTAACATCATTGCTTGTGTCACCTAAATACAATTTTATCTATGCATACTCATCTCAGTATATTTTACATATTGACAGTGTCTATATCTACTGACTAAGGGGGCATTTGGTAGATGGATTCAGAACCATAATTCTGGATCCTAATTTAGAATCAGTGTTTGTTTACAGTGATTCTGAATCATGATTCATAATCAGTGTTTGGTTTGGATGATTCTGAATCATGATTCAGAATCTGATGTGATGTTTTAAACCAGAATCGCTCATGATTCTAAAATAACCCCCCTCTTGATTCAAGGTGATTCAAACCCCTGATTCTGAATTATAGTTTCATAATCATGATTAGAATCACCTTGATTTAAATCCTAGTACCAAACCTGAACAATATTTTTTCTATTCTTAAAAACGTCATAACTTTTTCGTTTTAATTCCGATTGAGATGATTTTTTTTCTATGCGTTCACAACAAAGAGACGAATAAAACCCCACCCATATACCCTATTAAAATATTTCATCACCATTGAGTTTTTATTAAAATACTTTCTAAATACAAATTCAAGTTTTGACCCACTCAAATAGATTCTCAATTCAAATCATAACTCAAATGTACACATCCAAACACAAACTCAAGTTACAACTTTAGCTCAAATTATAACTCAAATTCAACTCAAAATCTACACTCAAATCACCATAAGTTAAAAATGTAACCGAACAAGCCCTTAGTATTTTTATAGTTTGCTGCAAGTTTTGTTGATTAGATTTGATATTTATTATTATTTTTAGTTTGTTTGTTTACCTGTACGTGTCTTTAGTTTCCTTTTTACATTGTTAGAAGCAAATTTAGGATTTAATTTTATTGGTAATTTTATTTTCCTTTTTAGTTTTAAAATTGTTTGTGATTTGATTTTGTAATCTTTTATTTTTGATAAATTTTGATTTTATTTTGTTTCCCCATTTGTATATTTTAATTGTTGACTATTATATTATTGCTTAATTTAATTTTTCTTTTTAAGTTTTTATTAATTTTTAGGATTGTGATTAAATAGTGATTAGTTAACTAATTTAAATTCCTAATTTAGGTTTCATAATTTGTTAGATTTAGGCTTTTGACTTTAGGAGTAGTTTCTATCGTTTAGATTCCATTTCATAATTTATCCAATAAAATTTAAATTCTTTTAAAAGTTGTTCTTGAATTAATTGTGTAGTTTTGTGAAGAGTACAATCTGAAAGAGTTCTGTCGAGAAAAGTTAGTGCTTAAATGGGCCTTGCCCCACTAAACTTTTCTGGAAATGTTGCTATGTCTAGGAGGCTATTCATTGGGCCAAAAGCTATAGTCATTACTGGGAGCACTCTCGGTGGTTACAATTTACGTTACTATATAATTATTTTCTTTTATTTTGATTTAAAAATTAAAATTAAAAATTAAAAATTAAAAAAAGCCGCTTATGGTGAATGCATCGATATAGAGATGAACTAGGGAGATTTGCTCAACGTCCATACATTGAAACCCCTAGTGAAATTTTATTCGACTCATCTTCTATGCCTCTGTCTCCACACTCTTCAGCAGAGGACGTTGCAAGATTACCTGCACCCAACGCGTACGGCCACCCCATCTTGCATCATGTTCCCACCAAATGCACCGACTATGGATTTCAAGCCGGGCATGATTGCATTATTACCAACCTTTCATGGGTTAGAGAATGAGAACCCATATGTACACATTCAGAAGTTTGAAGAGGTGGTGGCCACCTTCCACAGCCGTGCTGAGGCCCAAACACCGTCAGATTAAAGTTTTTCCCTTTCTCTCTGAAGGATAAGGCCAAAAGTTTGTTGTATTCTCTAAGACCCAGGTCTATTGGCACGTGGGAAGAAATGACGACGACATTTTTCAACAAGTATTTCCCACACCACAAAACCAACACCCCTCAATGCAGTTGTGATGGATTTTCAAGACTAGTATAGATTTTGCCCTTGAGGAGATAAAAAGATCACAAGTTGTCGACGCAAAAGGAGATCACAACTGAGCGCCGTCGTCGCAACCCTAATAGCATTCTTCCTGACATCATCTTTTCATTGATTTTTGGTTAATTAATTTCCTCTTTAGCTAAAATTGGAGATTGGAGATTGGAGATTACAGAAAAGAGGAGGAAAAATAAGGTAACGTCAAAGAGTTCCTGAGAAGAAGAAGAAGGATGAGAAGATAGGTTAAATTAGAAAATTTCTTAAATATATATTAAGGCCCCGTTCATTTCGCTGATTCGAGTTTAGAATTCAAGTTTTACTACAGTAAAAAGCTCTCACAAACAATCACATCTAAATTTTTTGCTACAGTAAAAAGTTCTCACATAAAATCACATCTCAACTCGAATTAAAAACTCGAATCAGCGAACTAAACGGACCCTAAATGATAAGCTATTTGCTTAATATTCAAAAACTCGAGCTAATAATTTTGGGTTGGGTAAAGAAATGGCCACGCAACCCAATTTCTTGCTTTATTGACATATATAAAGAAAATACAAAAATTGTAGTAATTAGCATATTTATGAAATTAAATATAGTAAATAACATATTTTAAATAGTAGTTTATTGTGTAAGTTTTTCATTTATGATTTGTGTGGTAAAAATATTTATTTACATGGAAAAATATTTTACTAATGGAAAAAGAATTTATGTGGAAAAAATCTTTTTACTAGTTGTAAATGGAACAATTAAGACTCGTAAAAAATAATTTACATGATAAAAAAATTTTATTTACATAGAAAAATATTTTACCAATGTAAAAAGAAAATTTACGTGGAAAAAAATCCGTAATTGTAAATAGAATATTTAATGATAAACTGCTATTTACTTTAAATAGTTTTAAAATATGCTATTTACTTCAATTATTTACTATAAATCTACTATTTATTTTACTTTCTCTATAAAATTGCTTATTTGTTGTACTTTCTCTTTATTTTATGTAAGATTGTATAGGTTGATAAAAAATGTAGAAATACTGACATGAATAATGTTAGAGCACCAACACCAATTTTATTAAACTTATTAAACGTTTGTGCATTAATTAATGTAGTATGTAAATTGTTATTTTTATATTAGTGGATGTTTAAAATATTTTCACATTAATTAGTACACAAAAATTAAAATTTACGTTGGTGACTCTAGCATTACTCATACATTTTCTTTAGCAAAAATAAATAACAACTTAGCAAGTGATGTTTAAAAAGCAAATTAAATAATAATATTTTGTAAATAAAATTAATGATTTAAAATTAATTAATTAATTAATATAAGAGAATCTTTTTTTTTTGGCTGAATAAAATTAATATATGAGAATTTGGTAGAATAATTTTGACACAATAATTAGAGAATATTTGTTTATAATTTTTTATAGTGTTTTTCTCATAAAAAATTTGATGTGTTTAAAGTAAGGATTCGTGCTATGATTCAGATCATGATTTATGACTCGTTATAGTGTTTTCTCTTATAAAAAATACACATAAATTAAAAATAATTTTAAATTTAAAAATAAATATTTACTTAAATTTTAAAAATTAAAATCATAAATAATAATTCTAAATAAACTACCCATTTTAAAAATTAGAATCATAAATGATAATTCTCAATCCATAAATACGAATCGCCAAACTCAGAAATACAACAACAAAGGTTTACATTACATTTACAGCAGCAGCAGCAGCAAATCTACTTCTTCGATTTCGCTGCTCTCGTCTAAGAATCTGGTAAAGTTGTCGTCTTTGATCTCGGAATAATACTTTCCGTTCACGCCCTAATTCGTACAAATGAAACGAGGAATTGAGGGTAGAGTTCTCTGCTGAGTTTCAAAGAAACCCCCGAGAAAGTAACATCACCTTCGATTGCTCTCATTCTGGTCCCTGCGTTACTGAGTTTTAAAAGGTCTGTATATATATATATATATATATATATGATTTTATTGAAATTTTTGATATGTTTGTTTGAGAAATCTAACAAATTATCTCTTTTTTGGTGTATTATGTCACCTTTCCATTTTTGAATCCTTTGTAACCGTTTTCCTATAATCTTTGTGGTGATTTTTCTGTCTATCTAATCAATTTTGTCTTCTCTTCTGCTGCCTATGGAAAATACATATGCTACTTTAACTTTCAATCCATTACTTATCTTGAAAGTTGTGTTCAACTCTTGTCTGGTGCTGAGTGATATCTCCGATCTCTCTTGATTGGAAGTGATTCTGTACGGTTCTAAGGCAGCATTGCCTTTAATCACTAATTGGATCCTCTCGGTTTGAGTCTCATCTCATGGATTTACAAGTATTTTTTTTTTCCATCACTTATTCATATTTTGCTTTATTTTAAGAATTAGCTTTTGACATCAGAAGTTGTTTATGTAAATTTGTTTTTTCTTTGGGCAATTCAATTAGAGTATGGTATTACTTTGCATAATTTGATTGTTTTAGTATGATGTATTTATTATCTTCCTGTTACTTTAGAAAGTTGTGAGTTCTACAATTTGTTTTTCTGACTAATTTATGTCTATACCATAATGGTAGAGTAGTATCGACACTGACCGGAATATGTTATGGATCAAGTATTTGGATTAAGCACTGTGTGAATGGTTTTCGATGATTTGTATAGATTAAGTTTATTTTCCTCTTTCTTTGTTTGGTAACTAGATTCGGTTAGAGCTTCTTCTGTAATCCATATGTATTCCCACTATATGGCATTTTTTTTGTTAAAATATCTTTGAGTTTATCCTTGTTAATCTGGGAATTTATTTTTTCTTCAGTTAGTTTATGCACTTGTTGCATTATGCGAAGGTTTTATGCTTGTTCCTTTACCTAATTGATTTTTCCATTTGACTTGCATTCTGTTACACATGTTGCTGTCTATCTGTATGTAATAACCTATGCCATTGTCTTGTATCATAGTTATACTTTACTCTTAGATTTTTTCCTTCTGATTTGTTACAACTGATATTTTTCTTGTACATAACAATTTTTTCGTCAGTGTAATATTCTTTCCTCTTGAGTTTCACTAGTCTCTTCATGTAAGAGTTTAAATAGTCTCCCTTATAGGCATTTGAATAGTTCTTTTCTTAAAATTTTACTCATATTATCTAGTTATTATGATGACAACCTTCTTATCATTGTATTTAATTCTTATCATTAAATAACAGAAAAATTAATGATTTTTTAAATGCTACATTAATTAACTTTCCTCATAAGTCCTTCAGAAAAATTTAAAAAAAAAACTTTCCTTATAAGTTACTCTTTCTCATCTTCATAATTCTTTAAAAGATATGTTTTAATAGCTTTTTAATGTTAAATCTTATTTTTATGATCTGATTGCAGTTGTCTGCTAAAATAGACAGTTACTATTGAATAGTTATTAAAAAATATTCCCTCCGTTTCATTCTCAATTATTTTCAAAAATTTCTCCCTTATGAGGATAATTGCATTTTATCAGTTACTTTTATATTTCAAAAGTCAATAACTGAAAGTGATTATGAAATTCTTTCATATTCATAGACAAAGAATGGTACAAATTTATAGTGTACAACCTAGGCTAAATCAGGAAGAAAATAATTACATGATCAGGAAATTAGCTCCTAGAAATCAGCCCTACAGCAAGAAAATCATTGACTAATTCTAGCCTACAGCTGTACATGAATATACAGGATAATCAGGGAATTAATTTTCTGATTTTCAGAAATTCATATCTCTAATTCCCTAGCTTTTAATTCCCGTATTTCCTAACAATAACTACTTTTATTTCTTATCACAACTAATCTTATAAATTTTTATTACTGGTTTTTAATGGTTTTCATTTCCTAAAAGTGTTTTACTTCATGATGTATTAAAAAGAGGCCGGTAATGAAGGCCTTCATTTCTTACTCCCTCTTACGTAAATTAAAAAAATAAAATATTAATATAAAGTAAATAAAAAAAAAATCAAAATCAACCTTGGTTGTCTACTGAAATTCAGTTATGCTGAGTTAGATTCTTCATATTTACAGTTTGATTTCAGGAGTTAGAGGAGCTTAATACGAGGAAATTTAAGAACTAAAATTTTCCGAAATATACTGAACTTCGGTATAATTTAACACAAAAGGTAAGTCTTCAAATGTCATTTTGTTGTTAAGTTTTGTTTCATCAAACGATATTTGTTTCACATTCGATCTCTGGAATTTCAAACCTTAGTTGATGAGTTTTTATTTTTTTGTTTTGTGTAGCTTTTTGTGATGGGAATTAGTAAAACGGAAGTTAATTTAAGGAGATTGCTTGCTGCTGCGCCTAAGCAGCAAAACCAGGCAAAGCTTGTTCATGTATGCCCTCAACTAAAACTCTGAGGTTCTATTGCTCTTTTTTTTATTATTATTTTTTTATTTCCTTGCCTTGTGATTCTCATTGGTGCGTTGAGATTGTCAGAAAATAGAAGATTTTATTTTCTAATAGAGAATAAAATTGTTTACTTTTCTGTTTTCTAGTTTACTTTTTCTGTGTTTGAATAAAAGGACCAAATCCCTTAGTTTGGGGTAAGGTTCCTAGGAAATAGGGTAGTTTCCAGATTCTCTTTAGTTAGTTTCCGGATTCATATAGTTTCTGGTTTTGTTAGATGTTTGTGAGCTGTCAAGGGTACAATGTATCCTATAAATAAGATGTATGCTACCATGATTGAAATAAGAGAGAAAATAAGTTTTTTCCTCAAAACCTACATGGTATCAGAGCCTTAGGGTTTTAATCCAAAGGGAAAAATGGCAAAGACAGCCATGACCGGTGTAAACAGAGCCCAGACCTCATCTGAGGTTACCTCTGAAAACAACACAGACAATTCTTTCTATACTGGTGTTGATAATATAACAATTGATTCCTCCTTACAAATCTTCGTTCAAAAGTTGAATGGAAAAAACTACCTTGAGTGGCCACAGTCCGTCAAACTTGTGCTCGATGGCAGAGGAAAACTCGAATATATTACTGGGGAAGAGAAGCAGCCAGGAGAAAAGGATTCAGGCTTCAAAAAATGGAGGTCAGAAAATTCCTGGGTGTCAGAAAATTCCTGGGTGACAGCATGGCTTCTAAATTCCATGGAGGCAGCAATCGCAAAACCAAACATTTTCCTACCAACCGCCAAAGCTGTGTGGGATTCTGTTTTGCAAACATACTCAGATTTGGAAAACTCTTCACAGATCTTTGAATTAAAATCAAAGCTCTGGCAATCCAAGCAAGGAGACCATGAGATCACGGTATATTACAACGAGATGGTGACCCTTTGGCTGGAACTGGATCAATGCTATGATGATGAGTGGGAGAATCCAAATGATTGTGCAAGGTATATGAAACGTGAAGAGAATGATTGCATCTATATGTTTCTTGCAGGAGTTAATAGAAGCCTAGATGAGGTAAAGGGAAGGATTCTTGGCCGAAAACCCCTGCCCTATATTCGTGAGGTTTTTTCAGAATTACGACAAGAAGAAAATAGGAGGAGAATCATGCTAAACAGTGCAGCACCAGCACTCGAACCTGAGAATTCTGCACTAGTCTCTCGTAATTCAGGAGGATCTGATATGGAAGGAGAAAGGAAAAAGCGACCATGGTGTGATCATTGTAGAAAACCATGGCACACTAAGGAGACATGCTGGAAAATTCACGGGAAACCAGCGCATTTGAAGAAAAAACGAGAGGGCAATGGCAGGGCTCTTCAAACCACCACTGATGATTCTCAAGAGCAATCAATCAACTCGGAGGTGCATCCTTTCACAAAGGAACAGTTAGAGCATCTATACAAACTCTTTAAATCTCCACAATTCTCTGTCACTCCTTCATGTTCCCTTGCAACCCAAGGTAATTCTTATGTCACAGCCCTCTCTAGTTTCGGTCTTTCTTCTAGCCCTTGGATTATAGATTCCGGAGGAACAGATCACATGACAAATTGCTCACATCTCTTCTCATCTTATAGTCCGAGTGCAGGAAACATGAAAATTAAGATTGCTGATGGATCTTTTTCGGCAATAGCCGGGATTGGTTCAATCAAAGTTTCCCCCCCTATAACTCTTAATAATGTGCTTCATGTTCCAAAATTGTCATGTAACCTCCTATCTATCAGTAAGATAACCCAAGATCTTAATTGTCAAGCTAATTTCTATCCAACTCATTGTGAGTTTCAGGAACTGGTCTCGTGGAGGATGATTGGCAGTGCTAGGGAAAATGGAGGACTCAATTTTTTTGAAGATGGAACAATCCCAAGTAAACCAGTCCGAAGTTTATGTTTTGAATCTATGTCTACTTCTAGTAATCATGAAATTATGCTATGGCATTATAGACTTGGCCATCCAAGTTTTCATTATTTGAAATGTTTGTTTCCATCTTTGTTTATTAATAAGAATCCATTCATTTCAGTGTGAGACTTGTAAGTTTGCAAAACAACATCGATCCCCCTACCCTCCACGACTATACAAGCCCACTAAACCTTTTTCCTTAATCCACAGTGATGTTTGGGGTCCTTAAAGAACTCCAACACTTTTCGGAAAAAAATGGTTTGTCACATTTATAGATGATCACACTAGAGTAAGTTGGGTCTACTTGTTAAAAGAAAAAACAGAGGTTGAAGGAGTTTTCAAAAACTTTTACACCATGGTACAAACTCAATTTGATGAGAAAATTCAAATTTTTTGAAGTGATAATGGAAAGGAGTTTTTTAATAATATTTTGGGGAATTTTTTTATTGAAAAGGGTATTATTCATCAAAGTTCATGCAATGACACCCCTCAACAAAATGGAATAGCTGAGAGAAAATAAACATCTTCTAGAAGTATCAAGAGCCTTGCTTTTCACAAATAATGTTCCAAAATACCTTTGGGGTGGTGCAATTCTCACAGCAACCTATATCATTAATCGAATGCCCTCAAAAACTCTAGATTTTCAAACTCCTTTGCAAGTTTTCTCACAGAATTTTCCATCCTCTAGGATCTTATCCGAATTATTACCAATTAAAGTCTTTAGGTGTACTGTCTTTGTTCACAATCATGATCAAAACCGGAGTAAGTTAGATCCTAGGGCCAGAAAATGCGCTTTTGTAGGATATGCACTGATGGGATCTTGATCTGTCGACTAAGAATTTACTATTACGAAATGGAAGAAATCCTCTGAATAGTTATTTTATTGAATCCAATCACCAGAATACAGATAGGAGCTTGACTTGTAGCTCAACAATGCAACAGAAATGGAAATTACAGAAATAGGAAAAGGATAGAGGGATTTTTTAGGAACCCCACAACCTCCCAACGACTAGTTCATGCAAAATATTCACCCCTCTCACAGCCTTCATTGCTACCTTCAAATACCCCCCAGATTCTCTAACTACCCACGTCGGCTTCCCCTCCTTTAGCCAGACTCGAATTCCCAGGTGGGCCTTCCTTGACAACCAAACCCCTTTCTTCCGTTTCATTTGGGCTTGAGTCTCCCACTTGTCCACCCTTGGTCCTCCTGGTGTAGACCATCCTCACAGGAGGCCTGACAATACTCCCCCCTTCGAAGACAACCTTGTCCCCAAGGTTGTAATGAGGAAATTGGGCCTGAAACACCTCCAGAAGCTCCCAGGTGACTTCCCAATCCGGCAGGTCCTTCCAGTTAACCAACACTTCAGCAACCTGTTTTCCTCCAACAGAAGTCCACCTGCCGCGAAGGACCTTGGAAGGCTCGACCTGCAACTCCAACTCATCCGAGAGCTGCAGTGGAAGTGGTTGGTACTGGAGTGCATCACCTTTGAAAGGTTTCAGCTGGGAGACATGGAAAACAGAATGAATCCGCGCAACCACAGGAAGCTTGAGGCGATAGGCCACTTCTCCGATTTCCTCCAAGACTTCAAATGGTCCATAAAATCGAGGAGCCAACTTTTCGTTGGGTCGACGGGCCAGGGACTTGAGGCGATAGGGGCGTAGCTTGAGCAGAACATGATCACCAAGCGAAAAGGAAAGTTCCCGACGATGAGCATTCGCGAACTTCTTCATGCGCTGCTGTGCGAGCACTAGATTGCCCTTGAGAATATCGAGGAACTCATTCCTTTGCTGAAGCTGGAGGTTGACATCTTCCACTGTCGAGGGGGAGTCCTGGAAGCGGTGAAGAGTGGGAGGATCACGGCCGTACAATACCTGGAAAGGGGAATGCCGCGTGGACGCGTTATAGTTGGTGTTGAACCAGAATTCCGCCCATGGTAAGTAGTGAAGCCACAAGCGAGGTTGATCGTTGCGAAACGGCGGAGATATACTTCCAAGCACCTGTTCACAACCTCGGTTTGGCCGTCAGATTCAGGGTGATAGGCCGAACTGCGGTTCAACTTGGTTCCCTGCATACGAAATAACTCGCGCCAGAAGAGGCTCATGAAGAGGGGGTCTCGATCGGTGACAATGGAGCAAGGAATTCCGTGGAGCCGGACTATTTCGCGAACAAACAATTCAGCCACTTTCTTGGCCGTGAACGGGTGAGAAAGCGGCAGGAAATGAGCGTACTTAGACAACCGGTCCACGACCACCAAAATTGTATCAATTCCATGCGACCTTGGTAACCCCCCGATGAAGTCCATGGAGATATCCTCCCATACCCTCTCCGGTACCGGCAGCGGTTGTAGCAGTCCCGCGGGCGTCATGGCCTCATACTTCGAACGTTGGCAAATGGAGCATTTGGCAACATACTGACGTATATCTTCCTTCATCCCCTGCCAGAACAGGTTATGTGCCACGCGTTTATAAGTGCGCAGAAAACCTGAATGATCCCCTATGGCCGAGTCATGAAATTCACGCAACATTCGTCGTATCCACGGAGATTGCCTTGGTAGGACTACCCTGCCTTGGTAGCACAGCAGGTCCTGATGCAAGGACCATCCAGCGGCCAACTCCTCGCCTTTAGCGAGTTTTTGTAACAAAGCAGCGCATTCGTCGTCTTGTTGTTGTTCCCGTCTAATCACAGCCCAATTAACCAGCTGCGGAATAGAGATGGGCACTAACTCCACTGTAGTGTTTGCCTCTCGCCTAGAAAGTGCGTCAGCCACTCGATTCGACGCCCCTTGCTTGTACTGCAACTCAAAGTCATACCCAAAGAGCTTAATAGCCCAGTGGAGGTGTTCCGGAGGTAACAGCCGCTGGTCCATGAGAAACCAGAGGCTCTGTTGGTCGGTGCGCACCACGAAGTGCCGGCCAAGTAGGTAATGGCACCACTTTTGGACAGCCAACACGACCGCCATGAGTTATCGTTCATAGACTGACCCGAACCTAGAAGTGCCTGAGAGCGCCTTGTTGAAAAATGCAATGGGCTTACCCCCCTACATTAACACTACCCCAATTCCCGAGCCAGGCGCATCTGTTTCAACCATAAATGGCTTGGAGAAATCCGGTATTGCAAGGACTGGGAGAGTAGTCATAGCAAGCTTAAGTGCTTCGAAGGCAGCCCCCGCCTCTGGGGTCCACCGGAATTCACCACGTTTGAGCAGGTCAGTCAGCCTTCCAAAATTCTAAACAAAACGCGGTAGTAACCAGCCAATCGTAAGAATCCCCTGACTCCTCGTACGTTCTTGGGTGTGGGCCAGGATAAGATAGCCTCCACCTTGGCCGGATCAGCTGCCACCCCTGCTGCTGAGATCACATGCCCCAAGTACTCCAATTGTTGCTGCCCAAAAACACATTTCTTCCGATTAGCGAACAGCTGCTCCCTCCGTAGAACGCCCAGGACTACCGTGAGGTTCTCTTTGTGTTCTTCCCACGTTCGACTATAGATCAAAATATCGTCGAAGAAAACCAAGACGAATTGGCGCAAATAGGGTTGAAATACCTTGTTCATAAGCGCCTGGAACGTTGCTGGAGCGTTGGTCAAACCAAACGGCATGACCAAGAATTCATAGTGCCCTTCGTGCGTTCGAAATGCAGTCTTCTCCACGTCGAATTCCCAGGTGGGCCTTCCTTGACAACCAAACCCCTTTATTCCGTTTCATTTGGGCCTGAGTCTCCCACCTGTCCACCCTTGGTCCTCCTAGCGCTCCGCTCAGAACACCCACCCATATGGGTCGTCACCTTGGAAGATCGGCAGCTCTAGGTGTCTTCCTCAGTGCTCATGCCGTCTGCGGCCCTGGTCCGGAGACTCATTCTGCCTCCTCCGTTCCCTGTCACGTCCCACCTCCCGACGCGGCGGTGTTGGAATCTGAGCCTCGAGGTGGCGTCCTAACATTGTCTCCAAGCGGTGGAGGGCCCCTTGCACATCCCCTACCTGAATTCCCAGAGCATGAACATCTTCCTGTAGCTGAGGTACGTGGTCCACCATAGCTCCCATCAACTGAACAGTCTCCCTGATTGACTCGAGACCTTCTAAACTGGAGACGCGCTCGGTAGTGCTCGCCGTGGGAGTGTACTGCGCCATGGATCGCTGGCTCTGATACCAAATTGATAGGATCCTAATCTGTCGACTAAGAATTTACTGTTACGAAATGGAAGAATTCCTCTGAATAGTTATTTTATTGAATCCAATCACCAGAATACAGATAGGAGCTTGACTTGTAGCTCAACAATGCAATGAAAATGGAAATTACAGAAATAGGAAAAGGATAGAGAGGGATTTTCGAGGACCAACAATTTCCCAACGACTAGCTCATGCAAAATATTCACCCTTCACAGCCCTCGTTGCTACCTTCAAATACCCCCCAGATTCTCTAACTAACTTCCCACGTCGGCTTCCCCTCCTTCAGCCAGACTCGAATTCCCAGGTGGGCCTTCCTTGACAACCAAACCCCTTTCTTCCGTTTCATTTGGGCCTGAGTCTCCCACCTGTTCACCCTTGGTCCTCCTGGTGTAGACCTTCCTCACAGGAGGCCTGACATGCACCAACAAAAAAGGGCTACAAATGCTATGATCCTATTTTTTAAAAAATGTTTGTATCTATGGATGTGTCTTTCTTTGAAACAAAACCTTTTTTTAGGTCTCCTCTTCAAGGGGAGAGAAACAGTGAAGATCCGACTTGGGATAAAATAGAAAATTTGGTGACTGAAGATTTTTTCTAGATTCAACACAAGTTAATGTTAGAATCTGGTTCTAAACAGTCACCAACAAAGTCAGTTTTGACTCAAAATGAACAAGACCAAAGTGAAAACACAAATGTTATAAATAATGAGGAATTCTCAAAAACAAGTCTTGTCCCAGCAGAGAATAATGATTCTATTGAAGGAGATGCAAATAAGAAAAAATTCAAACTGGTTTACTCTCGGAAAAAATTCGGAAGTTTCCTAGCGAGGCCAAGATTCCAACTCACGGCAGGACCAAAACTCTCCAAGTGTCCCTCGTGTCCCTCTTTCCGTCCAAAATTCTCCAGGTGTTTCTCCTTCCTTGTATTCTATTCCTGAAGAAACATCTCTCAATGACCTTAATATTCCAATTGCTCTCCGGAAAGGGCTAGGTCATGTACTAATCATCCAATGTCAAAATTTGTGTCCTATGAAAATTTGTCCCCAATTTTGTCTTTCTTTACTAATCAACTCTCACGTGTGGAAATTCCAAAGAATGTTCAAGATGCTTTACAGGTTCCCAAATGGAAGGAAGCAATCCTAGAAGAAATGAGGGCGCTTGAGAAGAACAAAATGTGGGAGATGGTGGACCTGCCAAAGGGAAAAAAGACTGTGGGATGCAAATGGGTGTTCACTGTAAAGTACAAATCAGATGGATCTCTGAAAAGATATAAGGTCCGGTTGGTAGCTAAGGGCTTCGCTCAAATGTATGGAATTGATTACATGGAGACCTTTGCTCCAGTAGCAAAACTTAGTACTATGCATTCTTGAACGAAGATTTGGAAGAAGAAGTATACATGGATGCCCCACCTGGTTTCGAAAGAAAATTTGGCTCAAAAGTGTGCAGATTGATAAAGTCACTCTGTGGATTGAAGCAAATCACCACGAGCGTGGTTTGAGAAATTTACTTGTTCAGTAAAAAAGCAGGGTTACACACAGGCTCAAACTGATCACACAATGTTCTTTAGGTACTCATCAAGTGAAAGAATTCTCCAGGGAAATGCCTTTTTTTCAAAAAGAACACTCAACATGGGATTGAAATCTACACCGATGCGGATTGGGCAGGATCCTCCACTGATCGGAGATCAACAACAGGATTTTGCTCCTATGTGTGGGGGTAATTTAGTCACTTGGAGAATTTAGAAGCAAAGTGTAGTAGCAAGAAGCAGTGTTGAGGCAGAATATAGAGCAATGGCCAACAGAATTTGCGAACTATTATGGCTACAACGGATATTGACTGAGTTAAAGTTGCGTATAGAAGCCCCTATGAAGTTATACTATGACAACAAAGCTGCAATCAGCATAGCCAACAACCCTATGCAACAAGATCGAACTAAACATGTTGAAGTTGATCGACATTTCATCAAGGAGAAGCTTGAGGGAGGAATGATCTGTATGCCATTTGTTCCAATGACACAACAAACAACAGATATCCTCACAAAGGGACTGTTCAAGTCATCGTTTGACTTCCTTGTTAGCAAGTTAGGTTTGCATGATATCTATGCACCAACTTGAGGGGGAGTGTCAGAAAATGGAAGATTTTATTTCCTAATAGAGAATAAAATTGTTTACTTTCCTGTTTTCTAGTTTACTTTTTCTGTGTTTGAATAAAAGGACCGAATCCCTTAGTTTGGGGTAAGGTTCCTAGGAAAAAGGGTAGTTTCCGGATTCTCTTTAGTTAATTTCCGGATTTAGATAGTTTCTGGTTTTGTTAGATGTTTGTGAGCTGTCAATGGTACAATGTATCCTATAAATAAGATGTATGCTACCATTATTGAAATAAGAGAGAAAATAAGTTTTTACCTCAAAACCTACAGAGATGATATGAAGTTTACAATTAGCCTCGTTATTGAGTATGTGGTGCCTTATTATTGGCCTCATGCAGAGTCATCACACGGGGCCAGATGAGATAAAGCTTAGAATTAGTTTCTTGAGTTTCCTGCTTTTATGTTTTTAGTCAACTTTTTGTTCCAAAGCTGTCTCTGTTTCTTGTCGTTGTGCAATGAGATGAGTTTATTGTACTGTAACTAATGCAATTTTGCAGTATGTTGCCACTTTAAGAGAACTTTTAGAGCAACTAGCGGAAGGCGTACCGAGGTTTGTCACTCTTTTTGCGTATTTTATTTTTGTTTCTATGAATGTTATATTCTTTTAATAGTTTTGAAATGATATTCTTCTAATATTTGATTGATTAAGAAATTCAAACCAATATGTTTTGTTTTTGTATTTCTATTTTCAAGTAATTTGGGGCTTTGGCAATCACTTGCCCAGTTGATAATTAGGTCGAGAAACGTTGATAGAGTTGGTAATCACATCAAATTCATTTTTACTGTTTCTGGTTTTAGTTTCACTTGGAAAGGGTTATGGGACATATTTTAATCTTGTGATTTCTGATACTCTCTTTGTGGGTGCTTTAGGAGGAAAGTTTGTTAGTCTTGTTTATGGATGCATGTTGATTTGGTAGTTTAGTTATGGTCCGGAGTTAGTTTTTTGGTAACAGTGATTTAGGTATATTCTGTATCTGTCGTTGTTCACTGTTCCCAGGCTTTTTAGCTCTATGCAGAAGTTACCATTTTTCCATTTAAGTGTGTGACTCTTGTGGATTTTAAGAAGAGCTATGTTAATAGACCATCCTCGGGGATAGTTTGTGTGCAGTGTACGTCAAGGTTATTGGAGAAACAATATGTTAAAACGTTGTCTATTTTTCATGGATTTTATTGAGCATTAAGCTAACAGCGCTTGATGTGTAAATCTCTACTTGATGCTTATGATAGCCCACTTGAAAGAAGCGTGTCCTTTAGAAGATGGGGACTTCTAAATTAGTTCCTTTTAGAAAGGTATTATTCGATGTTGGAGGTCCAAAACATTAATTTTTTCAAAGATTTCGATCAAGATTAATGCTCCTTTTTCATCCATCTCTCTGATGTGTGTGTATTTGCCTTCTTCTCACCCTTAATTTAAATTTTCAATGATTTATTGTTGAACCAAGATCTTAGAAATCCAATCCAACGTATAAAAAGAAAAAGAAATCCAATCCAATCCAACTTTCTTTTGTATTTCTTAGACTACTTTCTAAGTGTTCAGTTTATTTTAGTTTTGGTGCTTATAATTTTGTATCAGTGTTCTAAAGAGCATATATTTTCTTTGTGGATGTAGAGTAGGCTAATTTGTTTGTATGCTCTTAGACTTTCAAAGGCTGTAGTGAGTGATTATTCAGAGAAGATTGAAGCTGTTGCTTGCAGATTAACTTCCATGGCGGTGCGTGCATACTTAATTGTTGAGTAAATAAAAATTTTTGCTGTTGCCTTTTATTTTTTAAGTTTAAAATTCGACTACATTCGGTTTTTTTTTTTTTTTTTTGGCTCTATTTTATACACTCCTCCTCTGCCACATTCTGTCTCTCCCTTCTCAGTTTTCTCATTTTATGAATTCCCTTCTGTGGCCGCTGCTTGTTAATATACCCTTTTGCTAAGTCTGTACATTTAACCTAGGATCCACAATCGCACAACCCCACCCCCCCTCCCTCCTCTCTCTCTCTCTCTCTCACACACACACACACACACACACACCTCTTTTTGATGTTCGGAGATTAGATATTTGCTACTTAAGGAGGATCAGTTTACTAATTATGTTGCTGTTTATGCTTTTAGCCTAGTGTGCAAGATCCCCAAGAGTCTTTTGAAGGTGTTTCTATTCAAGGCAGTTCTCCTGCAGTAGAAGAAGAAAGTCATACTACCCCTTCTGAAGGACTGAGAAGGAGATCTGTGTAACTTAATTTCTTTTAGTTTGATTAATTGGATTTGTTTTTAGCTCCATAGTGATCTTATAGCGTGATATAGGTTGTTTTGTTTGAATCTTATAATAGGCTTGCCTCGAATATTGAAGATGAAGCCTGTGAGACAACTGATGCTAATTCTTCAACTCCCGTCAAATTGGATTCTGTGGCACAAGCACACATAGAAAAGCATAGGTACCTTTTCTTTTCTGTTTCTTTTCCTTTTCCAGCTATAAAACCCGAGTAACTAGACCATTGAAGAAATTTAATCTATTAATGCAATTGAAAAAACAAACACACGGACATATATATGTATAACACGTAAATATTTGTACGTAACAATGTCTTACCAAGTAGAACTAAGTACAAACCTTTTCGTCTGTTCAAAAAAGAAATGCTAATATAATAAGGTGAATGGTTTCCGTGGTGCCTAAGTAAAATTTCATGCATCTTAATTGCTGTTTGTTGAGGGTTTGTGGTAACAATGAAGAAAACTTTTTTATTTGAATACTCCTTTTGCACAAGAACCAGTGACATATAAATTTACTGTGAATCTTCTGATAGCTTTTTATTGAATTAAAATCTCCACCACTACAACTAAGAGCTCTACCGAAGCTCAATTACTCAACAAAAGGGAAAATACAGGAAAGATAAAGGATAGAGAGGGATTTTCGAGGAACCCCACAACCTCCCAGCTATCAGCTCATGCACAAGATTCACAATGACCTCCTCACTGCCTCGATACTCCTCAAATACTCACCAATCCTCTAACCAACTTCTCTCGTCATCAGCATCAATCCATCCTCGTGCCCCCAGATTGGCTTTCTCCACCTCCCAGGCCCACATCATTCAGGCCCAAGCCCAAACCATTCCCTTTCTTGGCCCTCCTAACGTAGGCCTTCCGCACCTGAGGCCTAACACATATCATTAAGATTTCAACATCGACATTTTCTCATTTTAAGTAGTAGTAAATAAAATTCTGCTAAGCTGTTAGCTCAACATGCCAAAAGATAGTTGAAATGAAGCTTAAGTGTCTTAAGTGGGACTTGCTAATTTTTGACATTTATGCCAACGTTTTGTGGCTAAAGTTTGTGTATTTTCTCAGCTCTTAGGAAAGCCAGCCTATATTCAGGCCTAGACTAAAATATCCCCCAACATCATGAAGATATCCTCAGTATTGTCCGTGTTTTGAAAGTTTGACATCAATCGGGCAAGGATCTTGGTATGCAACCAGAATTTAGATGCTTAGTCTGTATTTGTTCGGTTTAGACTAGTTTCTTAGGTTATTCATGTTTCTTGGACATATTACTATTGTCTACTTTCTTACTGAGAAGTTGAGTAGAAAATGGAGAGAATCCAGATTGAATTGCATAGCATGAACTTGATTTGCGTGGTTAATTGGGTCAGTCAGTTTAACAGGTTATACTTGTTGTGTCCGTTTCGAGCGTAGGATAGGATTGAATAGGCTAATGTTAGAGGATTGTAGTAGTCTATAGCATTGGATGGGATTGGATATTAGTAAATCCTATCTTATGTTTAGTGATATACTATTAGGATACGATAGGATTTTACATTTTAATTAAACAAACAAAAAAAAGGGCTTTGACTTGTTTAACTTTTAAACTTAATTTTGAATTTGTTAAACAAATTAAAAAATTTAAAAAATAATTATACATATCTCTCTGTCTCTTCTTTACCCATTCGAAAACACATTCACACCCTACACATAATTACCTTTCTCACCTGTCCATAAACGACTAGAAAATAGATTTCAAAACCATAATTGAAATTGCCCAGCCCAGGAAGCCATTATGTGAATTTGTAAAACCACATTTATCGACGCCTTTACCCAATCACGAGCCTCCAGTGAGCTCCAGGATGGTTGAATCCCGTGCTTCATTGGGGGTTAGACGAATCCCCTTCGAGGGAGATTTAGTTCTTGGCTGGATAAAAACCATCCAGTCCAGTCTTTTAAAATTTTTATCCAAACACAAGATTAAATTCTTATCATAATCCAATCCCTTTTATCCTTACGAATCCTGTGACCAAACAGGCCTGAAATGGATTGACAATATTCCTTGGTGGCTTTAAGTTGGTCTAAAATTTATTAGTTGTGCTAATGCTAACCCTTTGAGAGCTTTTGGTTAAAACTCCCATAAAAAACTTGTGCATTTAAGTATGCCACTTAAGAGCATCTCCAATGCAATGTAAATTTAGCATTTGAGTGCAAAAAACACTCTCTAGTGCAATGCTATTTGTTGTGCTAAATTTTCCACATACTATACATTGTGGCAAATTTTCCACCAAGTATAGCATATGAGAAATTTGACATTTGATTGTTATCGGTTGAAATGTTTGCCTTTTCATGTAATCATTACAACTTTTGTATTTTCTAATTATTTTAAAAATAAAAGTTTACTTTTATGACATTCAAAGCTTAATGATTATGGAAAAAGGTAGATTTAGCATTTCAAATAGCATTATGCATTGGAGCAAAAATGAAAATAACATACTATATCATACCTTTTGATGTTAAGTATACAATTGACATTAGCATTTGCATTGGAGATGGTCTAAGAGTTTCCTTCTTCTTTTTTTTCTCCTTTTAATAAATTTCGCCATATCTTAGCAGAGAAAGAAAAAGGATAAACGTTTTTTATTTTCAGATTATACGGTTGCTTTGCGAAATCCTAACAAGTGTTATTCCTCTCCTATAATAGAAAGCTTCAGGAGGACTTGACTGATGAAATGGTTGTATTAGCAAGGCAACTCAAAGAGAGTAGCCTTATAGTGAACCGCTCACTGCAAAACAGTGAAAAGGTACGAACATCACAATTTATTTGATTTTGTGTTAATAAACTTTAGTGGTCGTGAAAAAATGCTGGGCGAAATATGTGATGAATGACTGCTTAGTTGAGTTCAGTATCATGCTAATAAACCCCATAATAATATATGTGCTTGAGGATTTTATTTCTATAACGCCATAGAAGGTCTTTTTTTTTTTCCTTCTCTTTTAACTGAAATAATTCGAGAAGAATGGACTCCATAATCTTTAGGGTTTTTACACTGGTGTTAAACTTGTCGATATTTAGACCCCAAATTTTAAATCTTGGTAAATGGGCCACTAAATTAAAAATTTGTTGCAATTATAGTTCAATAGCTAAGGAATTGGATGGAATGCTATGCGAGTTTAGAAAAAGCTACACCCAAAATCTTTCATTAGTTAGCGAGTTGGACTTGAACAGATGAACTTTTTAATTTTGACGTATAGGACCCAAATTCCGTATGTTATTTGACATCCATTATTGAACTACATTGCCACAGATTGTTAAATCTAGGGTCCTAAAGCTAAATGTCAGAATTAAAATTTATTGTCCAACTTGCAAACGACGAGTTAGTGCAAATTAGCATTGATCTTATTGCTTGTTGTTCCCAGGTCCGTGGAGGAACTGTGTATCGTGCCTATATGACCCTAAGAGCCATAGAGGGGTGCGTGAATTCAAGGGTGCTGGCACGAGTGTGGGGTGCACCAGAGATGAATGAATTTGAGTGACGTGGATGTATATGTGTGTGTGTGTAGACACTGGTCATTGGATAGAATAGGCAATGGTCTGAGTTGGGGACGTCAGGCATTAGATAGAAAATATATATGCTTATTAGATATCATAAAACAAATTATCCAATAAGAATATATATTGTGATGAAATAAATATTATGACTATAGCATATAATGATATTATAGAAATTAATAATGGTGAGACAAGATAGTGATTAAAAATAGAAGTAATAAGATAATAATTCTGTAATTAATTATGTCGCAATGAGATTAAGAAAAAGTATCCCTGCCACTTACCCGATAGATTTGGATGTATGAAAATCATGATGAAAATATATACTAAAGAATTAATGGGAATAATGTTAAAAGGATCACCTAAGATCTCTCAATCTATTGGCACTGGGGATTTGGGTGGGGGGTTCTATGTTCAATCCCGTATTGTATTAAAAGGAAATAATGTTAAAAGGATCGCATAAGGAGAGCACTTTTGTATTTCTTTCTTGCTTTAGTCTATCGTTTTTCTATTTCTGTTTTTGTTAGCAGACTCCTTGTCCCCTCGTTTGATTAGTAAAGTTCTTTCGTTTCTTATCATAAAAATAAAAAATAAAAAAAGAAAAAAAAAGAAAGAGAGAGAGCACAACTCTCACGTCATAGGGATCTAAACTAGTAATTGGAGATGGACTGCCCTCTCTTAGGGTATTTAGCTGTTATATTATTTTAGGATTTTATAGCTAAGGTGGTTCTTAAACTGACTGAGATTGTTGTATGTTTTATGTATTGACGTTGTTCTTAGTTTTAATCTTAATTAGAACTATCTTTTGGTTGTTGCTCTTTGATTTCATTCATGTTGTTCCTCATATATTGGTCTATGTTTGATACTATTACTCCGTGGGTTGAGATTTGACTACCCATTCCCAATTGCTTTCTCAACCCCAGGAGGCTAGTTCTATACATAACTAGGAGTATTCTAGTTTTGTTGTTGTGGTTTGCATGGGAGATATAGCCTCTGGGAAAGCTTCTAGGAGTGCTTTCAGGAATGCTTTCTGATCTACTATCTTGTTTTAGTTTCTTAAGGCTTCATGGGAAATTTGCCTAGTGAAATGCTCTTAGGAATTGCCTCCCGAATTGCTTGCTTAAAATGAAGGAGTCTGGTTCTATTTATATGCATATTTCAAGAGAATTTATGATTTAGTTAATAAAGTTCCTTTTGAATTCTTTAGTATTGTTAATTATACAAAATATTTTAGGTGTGCTTGACCATATGCTCAGATGTTGCCACGAATCATGATAATATCCTTTAAAACAGTTGTGTCTTGCCATGTATGTGTTTATAGAAGATATTTTATCAATTACTTTCATACTTTGATTGAAAATCTTTCTTTTCCCTAGCCTTTTGCGGTCTTTTAAGGAAGTTTCCTACGTAACACTTGTATTTGAACTTCTTTTATAAGTGTTAAGCATACAAAAGTAGTGGAGCCATTTAGACTATACTACTTTCCTTCACACTTTGTTTCATTAAACCTTTGTTCTTTGACAAAAGTTCCATTCATAACCTTATATTTGATTCTCTTTTCTTATATCTGTATTTTTTTTTTAGTACCAGTTCAATTTCTTTGGCTGATTTATTGTTTCACCATTGTTTGTTCTTTTAAGGCATGATATATTATTCTTCTTCTAACATGCCACGTATCTTTTAAGAAAATAATTAAATATTGTGATGAAGCATCAGGAGAATTCGTGGAAGTTTACGAAGGTAGCTTATATATATATAATATTGATTCAATCTAATTTTTAAATAATGTTTCATGAGGAGATTTTAATGATTTCTTTATTTTAGAGTAATTCTCATAATATCCTGTTTATCTTGTATTACTAGTCTAGTCATACTAGAGTGGGTCCCATAGGCATTGCTAATCTCAATCACACCATGCCACATCCTATGACATTATTTCCGGGTGTATAATCTAAAATCCATCTCCAATCCATTATGTGCCCCGAAACACTTATGTTATATGGTAGTTTGACCAAGGATTCTTCTTGTTTTCCGTGTTAAGGGTTTTGATCGATGACATACTGATATTACTGGTTACATATCTATTGGAATCCAGATACTTGATTCTACAGAAGAAGCCATTGAACGTAGCCTGGCAAGCACTGGTCACGCAAATGATCGGGCCTCAGAGATATACTCGAAGAGTTCTACGACTACATGCTTCACCTGGCTTGTGATCTTTGCAATGGCGTGTATATTCATCATGGTTGTGTTATTGATTCGTGTTACTTGAAGTTATTTCTTATGTCGGGAAAAAAAAAAAGAAAAAAAAAGAGAAGTAAAATATATGACTAAAATGTTCAGTGCTAATGATAGAAATTTTATTGTTGGTTGGTTCCCAAACGAGATTTTTGGTATTTTTGTTCTCAAATCGTTAATTCTTATTCATTTTGAATATGTAGTTCCATCATCTATGCAAAGGCTCCTAGTGTGATGGAAACTAACAACAATACCATTGTATATCTTGGAAGAAAAATACTGTAATATCACACTTTTCACTCAGAATTTTCAGTCCTTCGAGTCCTCAAGCCCAAAAAAGATATGGAATTTTCCGAGCACTAGAGAGGACGTGCAAAAGGAGGAGCAACTTCAGTTGGACTCCCTTAGAATTCTCTCTTCTCCCTATACATGAGGGACGTGCTCTAATAACAAATATTTTTTACTTTCGTATCTGTTTTTGAAAGACTTGTATAAAATTTATAAGTATATTTGATAATGTTTCAATGCTGAAATTACTTTTTCTAATTGTTTCTCGTGATGAAAACAAGTTAAATAATTCAAGTTTAAATGGGAAATATATAACATTTATATAGTGAAGCATAATGATGAAAATATAGATCAATAAATGCAAAATATATATATATATATATATATACATATACATATATATACAATCATAAAACAAAACAAAGGTAAAAAATACATAGAGAAAAATAAACGGTAGATTAGAGAACAAAATATTTAATAAGAAACATTTAAAATACAAGATTTAAAACAAAAAAAAATGTAATACCCAAGCAAGCACACACACACACACACACACACACACACACACACACACAAAAGGAAAAAAAGAAAAAGAAAAAACTAACGAGCAAGTAAAAATTTTTTAAGCTGAACTAGGAAGCAATCAAGTGCAAAATAGTATAGATTAGCAACACCCCTGTAGACAAGGATCGCAAAATTTTACAATTTTTACTCCCAATCTAATAATATCACAGGGCGGAGGGAGGGTGGGCCCCACCATCCCCCCAGATTTTTGAAAATTTTGTTTCCTCCTTAACAAAATGTTATATATGATGCCCTGTCATTAACAAACCTTTCTCTCTAATTTATTCCTATGATCCTTTTAACACAGGTCTTTAGTTAGATAATTTTTTTCTAAATATTTTGTCCTTGTTAAAATAATTTTTTTTCTTTTTCAAATGTTCCCCACGCTATCTTTTTTTCCGAAGATGCTTGTAGTTTTGTGCTAAAATATCATTAAAGGTGGCATTTATAAATACTTAAACATCTTTTTTTCACAACTTTTTCAAATATTATTTTCTGCTATGTACAAATAATTTGTAGTCAAATTTGTCACATCAAAATTATTTGAAGTGTATTATATTTTGTTTCTTTTTTTTTATCATACTAAACGCATAAGAGAATAATAAATCAAGAATAAACTAACATTTATTGATTTTTTGTGGTTACGCACCAAAAAATTCAAGAAGCTAAATATGTAATGCTTCCAACTATGTAATGGTATAAGAGTTGGTAATTTGATAAAGGGAGAATGAGGGAAATAGGCTAATGTATAAGAAAAGTTAATAAATAAGTTAATGTGATGTAAATCTGGATTTATAACTAGCTGAAATTTCAAAAATACTCTCTTAGTAAATCCTTGATTTATCATTTATATCCGGGATTTACCATTAGATTTTTCATTTTTTTCCTAGGTATATTCGAGGTTTACCATCAGAATTTAGTGTTCTTTTTCAAGTGATTCTGACTTGGTAAGTCTTGGATACACCTAGATTTACCAAAAGAAAGGAGAAAAATGACAAGAAAGGGGTAAAATTAGAAAATTAAAAATTAAAAACGAGGAATAGTCTATTAATTTCTATACATTGGTAAATTAGCCATTTATTTTTATAAGTTTTAAATGTAGACCTATTTTCTACAATTTTCCTTTGATAAATAGAAAGGCTTTTTACGTTCTGAGCTAATGCTTCTAAAACAAAATCCTAACTCTACCAATGAATTGTCAAATTATATAACGTTACCATTAAAAACTTGTTAATATTATGTAATGATAGCATTTATCCAACTTGGTAGCATTTACCACTGAATTGATATTATCCCATATCTAATATCCTATGTAATATAAGATATCAAATAACCCTTTTTATTTATGATCTTATCATAATTACCAAATAAAAAATTAACGGAACTCATGGACAGATATATAATTAGAGAGATTAAATGGAATTTAAAATCCGTCTCTAATTACGAATATTATAGTGGAGGAAAAATCACATGAAAAATGGTTATAAACATACGAAATATTTTATTCGAACAATAATATATATATATATATATATATATGCATGCATGTACGTGCATTCAAGTTAATATCCGTTGGCTTCATCAGTGTTCAGAGGCTCTATAGCACCATTACTATACAACATTATGCCAAGAGAAGTTATAGGTGTTATTAGTAAAGAGAGTTGTAAGTAAAGCAGGTGGCAACAATGGATGATATACAGATGAACAATGCAGGGACTAAGGTGATGTTCAAGAGCATGCTCTCACCCAAGTACCCTGAAAGTGTTATTGTTCCGTCCGCCACTACTCGAGCCAGTGTACCGGCTTCTGTTGAAAGCAGTCCACCGTTGTAGGTCCCCCGAGAAAGCCTTGACGACATGACACGAGATAGGAGTGACAAATTCACACCTGAAATAGGTGTACTAGTTTAGAACTTAGAGTCATGTTGAAGCAGAAAATTACAACTTCCACAAAAAATACTTGAGATGTGACACAAATTATTACCTTCAAGGACTTCAGCTGACACAAATGTGATAAGGGCTGAGCCAACATATTGAGGCACAGAGTAAGGGATCAAGATATGGAAGCTTAGGAGTATGCCTAAGCATACCATGATTTCAGATGCCAGTAGAATTTGCCTGCAAACGGGCAAATTCGAGAAAAGAAAATTAAGAATCAGATAAAAAAAAAAAAACTTGCCTGCAAACGGGCAAATTTGAGAAAAGAAAATTAAGAATCAGATAAAAAAACAACGAAAGATAAATTTGGATCATAAAACTGAACTAGATTACATGAACCAGAAACATAAACTAGTTAAAATGTAAGAAGATGGTGTAATGGTGTGAAAATTTTGGCTCCTTCAATCAAATTAGATGGGTTGATGTGTTCTTATGATTCGTCGAGTGTTAGAAAGATTAGAACGATTTATCACTATAGAGTTCCAACATGGTTTATTTTTAACTCCTTGTAGTACAGTAAAGTATTTTATCATTACCAGAATTTGGTCAATGAAAACAGAAAAGAAAATTACATGAACCAGAAACATAAACTAGTTAAAATCTAAGAAGATGGTGTAATGGTGTGAAAATTTTGGCTCCTTTAATCAAATTAGATGGGTTGATGTGTTCTTATGATTCGTCGAGTGTTAGAAAAATTAGAACGATTTATCACTATAGAGTTCCAACATGGTTTATTTTTAACTCCTTGTAGTACAATAAAGTATTTTATCATTACCAGAATTTGGTCAATGAAAACAGAAAAGAAAAACTAAAATGAAACAATCTAATAGAAAATAATCTTGGCATACTCCAGCCTACCTTGCATATAAAAAGAAACAAAGTCCAAATATCATTTTAACAATGAAACACTAAAGTGTGTGGTGATGAGAGATTACCTTTCTTCGAATATGTTGCTGATATAGTTGCCGACGATAATGTTTACTGGGAGCACTGTCAGGCCAAGACATGCAAGAAAGATGGCCACGCTGCTTGTCGACCAGACGAAATAGTAGCCAGTGATGACACTTGACTCAGCAAGTAAAATCTCCATTGCATACTTTAGCATAAAATATATAAACAGTTGAACCTGATAAAAATTGCAATTTTTAAAAATTAACTGATTAAGAAAAGTACAAAATTGTTAGAGCATATCAGGTTTGTTAGAAATGGGAAAAAATATAAACCTTTACTGATGGTGTAAGTAATTTATATGCTGACATAATTGAATCAACTGGTTTCTGGATTTCCTCAGAATTTTGTTCAGCATCATCACAATCTTGGACTTCATCTTCATCTGGTTGATTAGCTTCAGAGTGCATTAGTAACGGTTGTGTGCTTCCATTTTCCACAGCTACGTTTATAAACTGCCCTGCTCCAAAGAAACATTTCTAGTTAAAGCTTTTCCTATAAAAAACAAAAAAAATGTATTTGTCAGTATAATTTTAATGTATCTCCATCGTTACCAATGTCTTTATTATCCAGCTTAGCCTGACTCATGTGTGGAGATTTCCCTGTGAAAGATGTTAATCTCATCACTTCATCTAGCTTCGAATCTCAAAAGAAAATAAAAGAAGTTCAACAAGAGAGGAGAGATATTGTTGACATACCAGAATTAGATTCTTGTGATGTGAGATCTTTACTAATCTGGTGAGAAGGCTCTTTAAAAGAAATCCACAACCACAATACATAGATAAGCCATGCAAGAGCCATAAACCAACCGGGTAAGGTATCCTCATTGAATGTGAATTTGTAAATCTTGAAGTTAGTTTGAAACAAACAAGCAAGAGCAGGACCACATGCCATTCCGAGCGCACTTGCACTGACGAAACCAGCGGAAGCCTGCATTCGCAGCTTAAGTGGTACGCAATCGCTGATATAACGCCTATTAACTGCTCGAGCCGAACCTAACCTGTTTCACATTGTCAATTAGTACAACTTTGTTTACTGAAAGGTGTTACAAAACTTGAATATTTATTATGAATAAATGAATAACAAAAGCAAAAAGAACATATTTTTGAGCATAGTCATTAATCGTGTAGAAATCTATTGTACTCTATACGCAACTCTAGTTTAAGATAAATTATTTGACAGAGAACCATGGTATTTAGGCTAACCTTCACTGCTCTTTACATACTTGGTCTAAAATTTAAACAAACAATACCCCTAAAGAGATTGTCACATTTCAGTTTCATAATTTTTCTTGATTCTGATTTTCGAAACCCTATCATAAATATGATGGTGCACAAAAGTACTGAATAATAAACAAAAAAGAGGAGCAAATCTGATAGGAACTGAAAGTTAGGTGGTTAAGTGATTTTTTAGTTGTTGCTACTTGTATTTTCTTAAGCAGTTAGTTATCAGTTTGTTAGAGGGGTTAGTATTATTAGGAGAAAGGTTAGTAGTCAGGGAATTAGTGAATTGAAGTGCGATTTAGTCTCTAGGGAGAGATCAAAGCCTCTTGAAAGCTTTGAAACTACCTCGTATTCCATTATTTCTGTTTTACTTCTTTAATACAAAATCAGTTTAATTTCTTTTGTATCTTGGTTCTTATCAAAACCACAAGCTGCCTATATCTAGTTGATTCTGTCGGAGACTTCTAAGGTGAATCATTTTGTCTTACAATCTGTAATTTTCATGACATACATTAATTCTCTGTCAAACATAATTCAATCTTATTCATTTTTACTAAGCTCACTGTGAACTTTTCAATTACTTGCTTAGTTTCTACTCTTTAATTCAGAATAGTCTACATTTTAAAGTACGGATACAGAGGTATTATTAAAGAAGTACAAGTTACAATACTCCAGTAAAAGCATATGGCAAAACAAAAAATACTTATTACTGTAGTCAGTGATCAACAATAAACTGTAAGTGTTAGTGTGTTACTATTAAGGAATAAAGGAAATATAAATACTCACCCACAAAAAAACCGACCAATCAAAAGAACCTGTATTGAGTTAAGATCATAAGCCAGTGCATATAAGGTGTTTCCCACAAAAAGAATGATGCTACTAAATACAAGCGGTCTCATGTAGGATCTATTCGACCACGCACTGAAATACACTGATGAGAACACCTGAGCAATGGCCATTGAACCGATCACTACACCACAGACGGTGACTGCAGCTCCGAGGGTCAGAGAGTAGTGGTCAGCTGTTGGAACAATTATATATGTATTGACCATGTATAGAAATGTGTTTGCCAAGTTCAAGAGAAGTGATATAAAATGATATCTCTGGTCATCGACATCTTCCTCGGACGGTGTTGGCAACTCCTCTGGGAAAATAAGTGCATGCCTTCCCAAGAAGTGGAGGAAATTTGTTGAGTTTGATAACCTCTCAACAGCTGCCTTGATGGAATGAACAATTGGATCCTGCAGATCAAAGAGATCATTTTGATTGCATCTTCTTATGTAACCAAGTATGCATACCAATAAGGAAAAAGTTTATCAGATTTACTAAAATGAATGTGACCAAGATTTCGATGCTAAACCATCGCAATACCACTCATCAACAAATAAACTACATGCATTCCATATCACCTAACTGCATTGTGAATTTTGTTGGAACTTAACATTGTTGACTCAGTTTTGTGCTTCACAATTTACATGTTCAGTAGTGTTAGGCATGCATTACAAATAAGTCAAGGTAAAGAACTCCAGACGGGTCTTTTTATTTTGTCATGGTATGTACTTAAGAATGGTTAAATCAGAATACAACTTAAATCAGAAGAGGAGAGCTAGGATCCCAAATATTTAATACTAACTCATGTGGCAACAAAGTGTCATCTTTCCATTAGTAGATGCAAGGTTTTAATATTTATTGACGTGACAAATTTTTAAACACCTACCAATGAAAAAAAAAAGAAAAAGAAAAAGAAAGACAACACAGATGCTATTAGAAAGTCGGGATGCCTAGCATTATTCTAATCAGAATGCATTAAAATTGAGTAACAACATTGCATATAATACTTTGGATGGATATGAGAGTAAACCGAATGAGAAAACGCAGGCTGATCATATATAGAGATGTAGCTTCCATGATTGTCTTTAAGATCTTGAAGTTCCGCAAGATTGCGAGATATGGCTCCAACAACCGCCCCAACACCCTGTAATATTGGCCGTTAAATTTTTTTTTTCCCCCCTTTAATTTGGCTGAATTACATTTGACTAAGTTGAAAGAAGAAAGAAAAGACTTAATGTCACTAACTTGATAATAAAAGCGCTTATAGTATAGCACATAATTACCACATGCTTGAAGACTTGGCGCAACTGGGAGTAAGGATGATCAGAACGAGTTTTGACATAGTAATCAGTAAATTTATAGCCACAGCGTTTGTCAAACTTCTTCAAGATCTTGCGAAGACCGATAGCATTCATTTCAACAAAAAAGAGAAGCCTCGAAAGGTCTCTTCCAACAGCTCTGTATGCTTCTTGTACTTCTGATATGTCTTTCCCATCTGATTGCTGTGAGAGTGCATCATGCTGTGAGAGTGCATCATACTGTGCTCTGAGATTCGATAGCCTGCTTGCAAGCAATCCTTGTTGTTCCAAAAGAAACAGAACAATCTTCTCTATCTGAGGATTAGACATGAAACAAAGACCCTTATTTTGTTATAATTCTTAAGGGTATTTGCACAGTTGGACAAAATTTTCCTTTCAAGAAAAAAAGAAAAGTGTGTAACTTAATTTTTTTTTATTTACCTCCGCTTTTTAGTGAATTCTTAAGGGATTAGACATTTTGCACTCTAAAAAATAACCTCAAAATACTAAAAAACCATTTCTAAAAACGACAGGATACTAATTCTAAATTATTAAAAATATAAAGTACTAAAAGATAATTACGCTATAACTGAAGGTACCAATATGAAATTTTCCTTTCATATTAAATCAGTAGAAAGATCTTTTTTTTTTTTTTTTTAAAAAAAAGTCACTCTTTATGGAAAAATTAAAGAAAACAAAAGGTGCTGATAAGCCATGCAAAACTTTGATGTATTCCCCTCTATACTACACCTAATCATGGTGTCTAATCATAGTTGCATCTAAAGAAAATTTACAATTTTCATATCTGTTATCCAGTTACCTGACTATCCAGCAACCTTGAGAAGTCTTTAAGAACATGAGGGCGATCTTGTGCTCTGAGCTGAATTTGTTGCGAATAACGGTTTACTTTCTTCTTCATGAGCTTGTAGTTGATATAGTATCTGAAATACAAAAACAAGAGCACATATACAAGAATGATTTCATGTTTAGGAATAAAAAAAGAGTATCACTTCTTGGCATGATTATTAACCTGTTAAACTCCTCCCAAGAAAGGGAAGGCCTCTTTCTGATGAACTAATTTACAACTTACAAGAAGACTTGTTTCTCTAAAATATCATAGGAAATCATAGACGATTTATTTCGTGGAAAAAGATACCACTCTGGTTCTGTACGAAATTTTATAGACTAACAAAGAAATGTGTTTGCCAAATTTTAGGCTCAATTCTAAATAAGAATCCCAACTGAAAACTATCCTGTTTTACCAGGCTGATAAACCTTCTTTTTGCAACATATTACATGGAGAAATCCATAGTTTTTGTGAAGTTCATTTGAGAATTTCAGATAGCATCATCGTTAGCATTACTTTCAGACGAAAAAAAGGACACACACACACCAAAACTTTAAAAACTAAAATAAAATAACAGGAAAGGAAAGGCAACCCAAACAACACCACCAAATAGTTCAGTAGCCTTTCTAGCGCGCGAAAAAAAAAAAAAAAAAAAAAAAAAAAAAAAAAAAAGGGTTAAAAAAAAAAAAAAAAAAAAAAAAAAAAAAAAAAAATAGGCTTCTAGAAAAATTTAGTAAAACATACCCTTGCCATTCTTGAATTTGTGATTCTCTCAGCTTCTTCCCAAAGGCAACCATTCGTCAAAGAAAAGATAAGTGCCGAAAGAAAGTTATCAACCTCTGAAAATATATTAGAACAGAACAGAAAAGTTAGGTCGCAGTATGACTAAGGACACAATATCTGTCCTTAAAACTTAAAAGGGAAGTGCCGAAGTGGCAAAATGTGAAGCAAATCACAAAAAGGGAATAGAAATCTAATCCTCTCTCTCTCCCTCTCTGATTGGTCAATCAGCAGAAGGAAATTTCTAACTTAATTTCCACCCAAGAGTATGAAAACCAAAAGTAGAGGAACCACTTATGAAAACTAAAAGTAGAGGAAGCACTAACGACAATCATCAATGCCTAATCCTTAATGGGTGATTCAGAGAAATCTTAATCTCTGTAAGAAATGTTTGCTCTTTGAGGGCTAAAGAAAGACGGAGGAAAAGAAAAGAAAAAAAAAAAAAAACTGAAATTAGATTCTCTTTAACTTTATCCCTCAACGAACACAACCAGACGAACTGAGCGAAGAGAGAAAAAAAATATAGTTGCAGTATAACGTATTAATTATGAGAGTCTTGAGTTAAAAGGAGTGGAAGCAGAGGAAAAGAAGAACATGGGAATAATAATCCAAACAAGTTGCAAGTTTCATGCGATTTCCAAAATCCTTGATAAAGACGTGACGCTAGTTCTAATGCAAACGACAGTGTCTGTATTTGTTGTGAGAGAGAGAGAGAGAGACGTATTGAATCTCGCGCGAAATTTAGTTAATGTAGTTAGAAAATAAAATTCTATATATGAGAACGAGTATACAGCCACGTGATATTTGACTATCTTACTAAGCATTGACTCACTTACCCTTCTAAGAAGAAACATGCCCTTAGCACCATTAGTCCTAGAACCGTTGGATTCCGCTTTATTTGTGGGTTGGAACGAATAATGGGCTTTAAGTACAAATACTAACAAAACAAAACAAAAAAGTGAAAGAAGCTTGCTCTGGCAAGCTTACCTCAGGTGCAGCATTAACAAAAGAAATTGAGGGCTGCCGTGACTTGTAGCCGAGAAAACTAGAGAAAGAGAAGGGAAGAAAAGGAGAGAGAGAAAGAGAAAATGAGTAGGATTTTCGTGCTTGTGCAAGACGATTTTGTGGCGAAACGTTATCGGTTTCGGCTCAAATTTAACGTAGAGAATCCTTGTGGTAAGCTCTTCCAATCTACTGGACTTGATTTCTCATTTAGCCTCTCTTTAATACTCTCTTGAGTACTCCTATTTTAGTGAGACTTAAGTTTTTCTTTAGTGTTATTATTATTATTCATCTTTAATGATGATGTCTATATTGTTGGCGAACCAATAATAGTGTTTCTTAATGATATTATTGTTGTGAGCCTCTAGTTTGATTTTAGAGAAAAACTTTGTAATCTCATTATTAATATAGTGGAAGAAATTTAAGTGGTCTAAGGGTCTCATAGTTTTTACTCTCAATTTGAAAGGTTTTTTACGCTAAAAATTAGTGTTTCATTTGTGGTTGATTATTTTGATTAATTGGTGCATTAGTTGTTTTATTTTGTTGGCATTTTGTTTGAGATCCTATTTTAACACACAAAGAAAAAAATTTTTATTCCGCAATAGTTAGCATTAGTTTTCCCAACAAGAACAATGTTACAATTTACCAATAGTGCTGCCACATGCTAATAATAGAATGCGGATCCAACATTTTATTAGTTTTGGTGTTAAACACAAGTGATGTAAATATTTTTTAGTATTGAGCACTATGATAGAAAATGAATAGCAGACCCACATTCCACTACTTTTTTAGTAGTGTGTGATGTTAGATATCTTTAGTGTCCTTAAAGTCTAACATTGTTCATGCATCCCTTGTGGGCACACATTACAAATCCTGCCTTCTTTTTTTTTTTTTTTGCCTCCTTTTTTTTATTATTATTTTTTTGTTTTGGATTTTCACTTTGGCTATAAAGATTGTACAATATGGTTTCCAAAAATGAAAACGATAATAATGAGAAAAAATGTAGTTGGAAGAAACTTCTGTAATTCCATAAAAAATTGTGGTAGAATATAAAATGTACACGCACATATATTAAAGGAAAATATATTATAAAGTATGAAAAAAGCAATATAAATACTAATTCAATCCACCCTATAATAGGAGAAATGATACTAATAAACAACCAATTCTATCAATAAATTCGAATGAAGCATTAAGAAAAATAATATGTAGCGGACTTTATAAATGGGAAACACCTAAAAAGGTACACTAAAAATCGAACACACACGTGACTTTTCAACAAATGCTCTATTGTTGATAGAAAAATTCTATCAACCAGTGTCAACAAATCTATAGCACCAAAAATATAAAAAAGGAGGGCGAAGAAATAAATTTTATGGATGAAAAAGACCACCAAACACTAAACAAATGAGACGACGCCATAAATTAATGAGGATAAGAACCATCATCATTACAAATTAAAAAAAAAAAAAAAAAAAAAAAAAAAAAAAAAAAAACACTAAGAAGAGCGTGACTCCTCAAAACGAGAGAAAGAAAATGAAAGGAATGACAAGTAGTTGGCAAACATGTGCCGGCGACGATTACTAAGGCTGATGCATACACCGTAAGATGACTCCATAATTCCTCATGTGGACCAAAACCTCCGGGGTAGTCGAGACGAAGATGAACATGCCTAAAAATGCCTCACAACCAACATAGAACCCCGTCCCTATCTCATATTTGTTCCAGAAATCCTCTTGCTCTGTGGATGGCATGAAACTTAATGGTCAGGTAGCCAGGTGGTGCACCACCCTCCTGCCAAGAATGCTACTATATTTCTCTCACTCACCCTCTATTTTTTATTTTTTATTTTTTATTTTTTATTTTTTATTTTTTATTTTTTTAGAGGAACAAGCATAAAACATAAAGAGCATAGCCTTCATCACAAATTAGGACCAAAGACAGGAGCTCGCCTCCAAAACAAACTCATGAACAATATTGAAGTCAAATTTTATCAAACTTGCCCCAATCAATCAATCAATCAATAAGACAAACATGTGCACCAATATATGCATTGATCACACATGTATAAACATAGAAATGACATACTTTGATGTTTTTTAGGTGGTTTGGATACGCATCAGATTGAGTGTTTTAACTCTTGGGAAGTGGAAAAATCACAGCCAAGCACGATATCTTAATCTAGTTACAAAATATCTGCATCTTTTATTATTGTTTTCTGCCCCGCCATTTTGGAAAAGTGACACCTTTTGCGCCTTATGCTTGTCATTTCTATGTAACTTTAGCTTCATTATTTTAGAAAGGAAATAAAGCTGGTCTTAGATACAACTGCTTTTTGTGCATGCACTTTTTTTTTTTTTTTTCCCTCTCATTGTAAAAAGTTTTTCTGATATTCCTTTTTTCCCTTCTTCAAATTGTTGTTAAAAGCCATGAGTCTACTTGGGGAAACCAAAACTGAAATGGGTGTGGTCCAGAGCTAAGCTTAAGCTTAACATTTAAGGCAAAGTCCAAGTGCCACAGAATGAAAGAAACGCAGACTTAAAAAAAAAAAAAAAAAAAAAAAAAATTTCTTGGAAAGGAAGTAACGCAGAAATTCTTAGTAAAGTAAATGTTGCATTTCAATACAGGTCTTTTCTTGTTATCCCATGTCACATTTGTCTATAAGTCAAGAAACTTGATCAAATATTAGCCTACTAAAACTAGACAAAGTCAATACATTGAAAAAAAAAACCAAAAACAAAAAACAAAAAACAAAACTAAATAAGGGATTTATCCTATCTTTATATGGTTGAATTCCCTGAGAAAACTAAGATTTATATACACAAGAGGCAAATTTCCAAACCAAAAGTTGGAGCCCATCTAAGTCAGTTAGACCCCATGTCCTATTCCTCTCTCTCTCTTTTTTTTCTGTATTCCATAAAAATGAAACTAATTATTCATTTTTAGTTAGGGAATGACAATAATATATTACACACACATGTCTAACGTCTGCTCAAAATAATCTAGTCTAGCAGATTCCAAAAATCACAAAGTGTACATGGCAAAAATAAGAGTATTTGGATTAAACACGCATTCATGGGGGGACAGAAGGGAGAGAATAGATGAATAAATTCAAATATGAAGAAAATCAAATTGTCTTAAACAAAGTTATTCTTCTGACACAGGGAAGAAGTAGGAATCAGTTGAACTATAGTATTTTTATATAGAAGTGGAAATCAAAACTATCTGAGTTCCAAATTTTAGTAGTAACATATGGGCTTCACATTTTGATTCGATTTTGTTTATTTTGTCTTAGATGATTTCTTATTCATCCAAAGGAACAAAAGAACCAAAAAACAAAAACAGTTCGTGTATTAGTTTTTTTATCAGTTGCATGACAATGGCTAAGTTTGTGAACATGGGCAATCTTGTGAAGCTTAAAAAATTTTCCAAGTATGCCAACAACCAAAAAACATGCAGAAAATACTTACAGTTTTAGAACTCTCATGAAGTACTCAATAATGATCATCAGCTGCAGAATCTTCCTTTGGATGTCAAATTTGTCTTCAAGTTCAAACCAAAAAGCTGTAAAATAGTTTAGTTCGGTGCGGAAAGGACAAAAAGCTAGAGATGAAGAAGAGTGGGGAAGTTGGTTGATTCTTGCACTTGTGGGAGTGCTTTGTGCAATATAAGTTCTGAGAATAAAACAAAATACTTTTTCAAGAGTTATTTGCTACCAATCAACTCCAACCGAGTCACTACCACCTTCCTCTCACTTGGCTTTTAGAAGAATGAAAGGCCTTACAAACTCAACCATGTAACAACACCTTCATTGTGTGGTAGAGAACAAGGAAAAAACTTGTGTTTCTTCCCCGTCTTCCTTTTCATTCTTGTTCCCTACATTATTAATTTACCGATCCATTTTAAAAACTTAAAACTGTTAGGAGGTGGACTAATAATAATTTAATACTTTAACACTCTCCCTCACATGTGGGCTGGACAATACGCAATCATATGGGTAAATTAATTAAAAAACTCAACACGTGAATATTTAAACCCGATATATATTAATTATTAAAAACCCAATACATTATGACAATTTAAATAGGAATAAAGAGTGCAATTACGGAAGTTTGAACTCAGAACCTCCCGTTTTGATATCATGTTAGTTTATCAATCTATCTTAAAAATTTAAACTGTTACGATAAGGACCAACGATAGTTTAATACTTTAACAAATATAATTATACTTTCTAGAAACAAACTAGACTAGTACCAATTATGATTCCCTCTTTACCA